GATAACAAGGCGTTTGGTAGCCAGAAGTCACTGTCAGACGGAGTGACGTGGCCACCATACATGCCAATGCTATGTTGTGATGGTCAATCCATATGCTGATAAAAACAGCAAGTGATTAGTGTGCAGTGCTAAGAACAAGGATTAGATACAGTATCAATGAATAGTGCAATTTGAGTCAACTCTAGATACGTACCTGTTCTTAACATAGATTAAGTATAGTAGCTACGGTATCTAAATGAGAAATATTTCTGTGTAATAACAGAATAAAAGGGCAATGTGTCACGACACCTATTTTAACATTTTTGCAGTATCTTGTAAGTAGATATCTAATTTGTACAGATTGGTTTTGTACAACAAAAAAATGTTCTACATATATGGCAGTGAAATACATTACCGAATGAATACAGAAATTTGACAGACAAAATATTTGATAAGAAAATTTACAATTAACTCTCCGAGGAATGATTTTATTCATTTGAAGACTATTTTAATGTAAAATTTTAAGAATAAGTTCCTAATTTAAATTTTTACATAGTACACGGTTGAACATAGAGATACTGATTAATAACCTGTATTTTAATAAACTAATAGTATTCAGTCAAATAAGGTTATCATTCATTCATTCATTTATTCACATAAAAAGGGCGTAATAGGGTTCTTTAAGGGTTGGTAAAGCGTGCATGATATACCTCGTGTTACAGGCATCCACAGGTTACGGTAACCCCATTTACTATCTGACGGGCCGTATACTTGTTTACCATAATAGTAGTATAAAAAAAGAGTATATTCCTTTTTAAAAGGCCGGCAACACACCTGCAATGCCGCTGGTGTTGTGGGTGATCATGGGCGGCGGTAGTCACTTACCATCAGGTGAGCCGCATGCTCGTTTGCCCCCTGCGTTATAAAAAAAAGAATCTCAGGTATTAATGGTCGGAGTTCCCAATCAAAGGAGATTTGATGAAAATTTAAATACAAGCACAATTATGTGTTGACAAAATTCCAAAGTAAAAATACTTCCAATCTTGACTACATCTATTTAATACATTCTAAATAGCCATATTTCTGTTCTTTCTTTTATGCAATTTAAAATGGCAAACAAGTTGACGGTCCACATAATGATATGCATTGTCAGTCACACGGTTCCCTAGTGTGATGCCATTACTAAGAACTATGGATTTACTTTTTATTCTTTATTGTAACCAAAAAATGTGTTATCAGAATAATAATTGAACATAATAATGCACAAGGGCGAGCTTATCACTAAAGGAGATTTCTTCCAGCAGACCCAATATGAGATAAACTGACAGTTTATTCATAGTTACAGGCATACACGTGTACCAGTCGACTTAAATGTTGAAGTTAAAAATAAATAAATAAAATAGCTATCCAATTGAAAACATCGATAAATAGATATATGTTACATATAATACACAAATTACATATAATTTTACGCACAAAGGCCCAACTGAGAGACTAAGAGCGGAAAATAGAGTCTAATTTACATTTACAAAATAGGTATATATTATTTTCCATAAGTACTGTATAAGTTTACCTATTGCCATATATCGTCCTACATACAAGCACTAATGCGTTTCGACAGAAATACGAATGGAACAGCAGTATCCAAGCAGACGAATTACGACGACGACGACGTATATAAAATTACTCTAAAAACACTTGATATGAATTTTCATAAAATCAAATTTCAAAAGAATTTAAAGATTTTTTTAACAGTTTAATTTAGAGTTGAGTGTCGACTTCGACGGTCGGTCATAAAACTGAAAAAGAAATCTCTTTGTAATATGGATAAAATCATATTACGCCGACCCCAAATGATTGGGATAAGAGTAGGAAGATGATGATGAGTTTCAAAAGAGATCCATTTAGAGGTCGACCTGATTGGATATATTACTATTTAATAAGAGGACCGTATTATTAATAATCCTTATCCCCCCCCCCCCCACGCTGAGGATTAGATATCTATTGTTAAAGTGAATATTTTATTATATAAACTATGTATAAACAACGGGGAAGTTTAATATTAAATATATTTACTATTAAAATTAAATTATAGATCAGATTTTACTAATAGTTGTTACTTATAACTCGTCTAGTTAACATGTACAATGATGTCGTAATGAACGATTTTAAGTCTAAACTACAAAATTAATGGATCGATTTGCGACATTTAAACAAAATTAAGTACAAAGTGGCGTTAATTGAGTGAAATAACTATTATTTTTATTAACTAGTTTTTCCTAAGTTAAAAAGATTTATATTGGAGTAAAGGGAGTAAAGGGAGTACCTAAAGGATGGAGAAAGTCAGTCAGGGATAGAGAGAAATGGAAGCAGTTGGGGGAGGCCTATGCCGACAAACAACCTGATCAACACAATGGTTGCTAGTAAGCTAGTTAGTAATAAGTAGTATGTAAGATTAAAATTGTGGCCAGCGAATAAAGGCTTTATTATTATTATTATTACAAAGGGAGTAATATGCATATCATGTGGTTCCGACATTACTTAATGAGCCACCCCTTTCTTTCTCATGGGTGTCGTAAGAGGCGACTAATGGTAGCGGAATTAAACAAAATAATTCTATTCAAATAATCAGTGATATGGATTTCCGCAAGATAACACTTAGTTCAATAAAATGTTATCACTAAAAGTGATCTCTTCTCTAAGTTCTATCTTTCGTTATCTACTCGTTTCTCTAGTTCATCATCCATCCTGTGTATGTCATCACTTTATCAATATGTCGTTTCAAACTACACTTTGCTACCAAATTGCAGTCTCTGTTTTAGCGACCAGTCCATTATCACTTTAATTTATAAATCCCTGCGATTTCTGTAATGGCGATTCGATATTTCAATTCCCTCAAGCAATTTGAAACATTATCCTTTTCATAACTCGTTGAGCGATTTTTCTTATTTCATGACAGGTAAGATTTTTTTTTACAACACAGGGGGCAAACGAGCATGCGGCTCACCTGATGGTAAGTGACCACCGCCGCCCATAGTCACCCACAACACCTACGGCATTGCAGGTGTGCTGCCGGCTTTTTAAAAAGGAATATGCTCTTTTCTTGAAGGTTATGTTGTCGTATCGGTTCGATGCATTGGTTACATTTTATTGGCTAGACTGTTTGTGAATAAAATTCTAGTACTTTATATTGTTTTATTTATTTATAGCATCACCAACATGAGATACAGCGAAGTATGTCAATACAATATTCTAGTAAATTAGATGTAACTGTTCTTACATTTAGAGGCAACCACAGAAAGCTTTGTACTCGTATTGAGACATATTAAAATGAAATTAAATAATTAAATGTTATTAAATTAATAAAGATATTAACGATATCAACAAATGATGAAAATTATTATTAAACTATTTCAAATGCATTTAGCTTAATTATAAATAAATAAAATATAATATAAATAAAATATAATATAAATAAAATAAAATTATAGGTATATTTTATTTCAAGTGCCTAGTGCTATCTAATTTCAAAAACTCTCCTCACAATAACATCATGTCATGCATCGTGTCCTAAAGGACAGCTGAATAACATTATAAATGAATAAAAACTCTTTATTTTCCTCTACAAAAAAAATTACACAGATTATAAAGAATAACAATATGTACATCTACACAAAAAAATATAGTAATTAATTATATAAACTTAATTAGATAAAAGTAATGCTTACAACAATGGGCACCATTTCAGTACTTTTCTTTTACTTTTAATAATTTTTGTTTGGTGTAAAATATTTTATTGTAATTAAATAGATATAGAATAAAGAAATAAATAAATATTTTTTTTCTTTCCATTTATTTTACTTACAACATTCCCGTTCACTTAAATCGATGTTCACGACTATAAAGGAAATTAGAGATTACATAGGTTTTTTATTTTAATTTCAGTACATTTTTCTTTCTGCCCTTCATACGCTTTCTGTTTTTACCTAATGGTTAGTTGATGGAGAATGCCATATGGCATTAAGCTCGCCACTTGTACAAAGTTTTATTGTGCAATAAAGAATAAATAAATAAATAAATAGAATGATTATCTACATCATCATTATATCAGCCGTTAATTGTCCATTGCTGAACATAGGCCTGCCCCATAAAGGAGGCTTTTGCCAGTAGTTCCTACGCTTGACAGGTAGGTTAAAGGTAGTTAGGCTTTAGTGGCGTTTTATTTATTTATTTCTTATTGCATTCCATAATATAATTAGTAGGTAACATTTCAACTTCAATTATGGACCCTGTTGGGTACAACAAGTACGAAAGAAGAGGACAACACTTTTTTCAATTTAGAAATAGTCTAAGGATCTGTTACAATATTATCCAGTATTTGAAGTTGTATCACAATAGGTACGTATTTTCTTATTATTATTCATTATTTAAGTATTGATGTGTATCTATTCATATCGTAATTGTTATTAGTATTATATAGTTATTTAATATATTCTGTAGTTTATAATCATTCATATTCATATTGTAAAATTAATTAATAAATAGTTTAATAATAAAATTTCATAGTTTAATAATTTAAGTGCGACGCTGCCGTTCATCTTTCGACCATTAAGTTCCCTTAGTCTCTTTTCTTTACAGACATTAGTATTAAACTGAAAAGATTAGACAACGTTCCATGTTCACACTTGTGTACTTCGATGAATATAGAGCATAGTGGCGTGATAGAATAACAATACGACATACAACCCACCTGCACTATAGCGATAGTATTCATGCTAATAAGTACGATGTTCCATCTATAAAAACAATGGGCATCATCGATACCTGCGCCTACGCACGAACTGGAATGTCAATCGTAACAAAATCCGATCACCTGTCATAGCCACGAAGGCGGGCGGAAAGTTTGGGGAAAGCGCAGTCGGATGCGCAGGCTTCTCTTCACTCCGCCATTAGCTGAGAACCGGCCAATGGAATGCGAGGGGCGTGGTCGTGCGCACGCGCCGCCCGCGACACTAAGACGATTCAGTATAAACGCAGCCGTCGTATTATCGTCACGTCAACACTTGCCTTATTTCGTATGTTCCTAATTATGAACTTTTTGTACGAGTGTAAATGTAAATTTTGTTTTGTCTGAAGTGTTTTTATTTAAATGCAGTACCCGTTCGGACTTGTAAAAATGTTATTGTGAAGTGACACTGACTGTGGTTCCAGTATTTGTTTTGTGTGACTCTTCGTTTTGTTGGCATGATGATGATGGACCAAGCTCACTTTGGAGAATATTTGCTGAGACAACAGATGTTACATGCAGCGTCCCTTAGCGGATTGCGTAAGTTTATTAATAACGTATCAACCTAATTAGTAATAACGTACTTTCTTATATTAAATACTAACATAATGAAAATAGCATTACTAAGTAAAATTATTGTTTGATCCTGGCATAGAATGGGCCATTTGTTTCTTTCCCATGGGTGTCATAAGGGAGGCGAGGGCGACTAAGGGAGGGCGAGGGATAGGCAGCAGCATCCCTCTTAAAATATTTTTTAAAACTTAACTGCGGTTGCTAGTACGCCTGCCAAGTGTGGCAACTACTGGCAAACCCCCAAGACAGAGGCGTATGTTCAACAGTGGATAGTGAAAGTCTAATATGATAAGGTAAAATTAATAGTTTTAAAAATGTAAATGGTAAAATTAATAATTATATTTAGAGAAAATTGAAGTGATCTGGATGGATCTTGCCAAAAATTGAAATATTTTTCCTTATGTAAGTACTAACTATGCCTGTAATAAAGGACCGTTTTTTTTATACACACCTAATACCAAAAATAATTACCAATAATAATAAATAAGTAACTTAAACATTTTTAATAAAAAAAATAACAATATCTGATTAAATATCCCAAAAAATAGGTTAAAAAATTAAAATATAAAATTTAAGTCATTTTTTTATAAATCGAATACGCGTTGATGTCTTTTCTATAACTAATCGTACTGAGTATTAAAAATAATTACTTAGTACTCGGTGAATTTTTTCGAAATTAAATAATACATTCTTTATATAGTATTCTTTATGATATCTTATTATTATATTCCTTCTATTCAATAATGCAACCACCTACTTATTTCTCGGTTTGCCCAATAGTTGACTAATAGAGAACACCGTCTGGTGCATCACTGTGCATTACAATTTAAATAAATAAATATCTTATTATTTATGTAATTGGGCTGTAAAAATAGGCATACGGCCTGCCTGATGATACTATTTATATATTGTCTAAAGCACATTTTCATGGTCTATTCATATGTAACTTAGAAGCGAGATAATCATAAGTTATGGAATGTGAAACCTACTTAAGGATAGACTAATGTTGTTTTATAATAGTAATAAATTTTTAAAATAATTTATTTTTCACGTATAATTAAAGATTAAACTGAACCTACTAATAAATCTACTAAGTATAGTATTATAAGTATGTACTTTTAATTCAAATTATTGTAATTTAATTTCTATTCTAAATATTTATGCCTGTCCACAATGCACACACGACTATATGTGTTAAAAATGTATTATATACCTGCATTACATTACCACATAATCAAGAAGTAAAACAGTGCTAATTCATTTAAAACACATTTAATAAATATAATAGACAACCTAAAGGCATTTAAAAACACGTAATAATTAACTTATACAAACTATATTTATATATATTTCCCGTGACATATTATTATAAAGATTGTCTGTAAGAGATTGCCCTAGCGATAAGACCGCCTTTTGTACCTTTATGTGTATATTTCAATCTGTATTTACGTTACTGTATTTCACTTCAATTGTTCAATTGTCATTTTATATTTTTGTTTATGCTGCAATAAAGAGTTAAATAATAAATATATAAGTATAATAGATTTAAATATAATACATATATATTTTTAACAATCACACACACTGCTTCTAATAAAATGCGCTTTAAATTTATGTGCGTTAAAATACAATTCTTTATACGCAAAATACAAAGGAAAAACCCGATGTAAACCATTAGCATTGGGATTTTCAAATACCCATTTATAATATAATAATCTGTATTACATTAAACCAGTTAATCTCAAAGAACTACTTAGTGGTTTTGTTATGTTTGAAAGTGGCAGTAGTAATAAGGGATGGTAGATGAGAATGAAGTGCGCACACGCATGAAGATGATTGAGATGCTGTTCCAGCTGTGAACGTTAAACCAGTGCATACGGTAGCGACATTGTATCTATCGATATATTCGAGTGCTATTTATTTAAAGGGCAGGTCATGATCTACCTATCGTAATGAATTCACCTGTATATAACAGCAATAGCTGCCAGAGCGAAAGGGGCCGCGTGAAGGTCGATCTGATAGTGTGTATTGCTAGCAATGGGACCATTAGTCCCCATTCCTAACAATCGCCTTTCTCATACTAGCCTTATCTGACCACTGCTGAACATAAACCTCTCCTATAGACAGTCACAAAGAACAGGGGCGTTCCTTATGGCAGTTTAACATTCGGGAGATTTTGCCAGTATTTGCCACACTTGGCAGGCGAGTTGGCAACTGCAGTTAGACTTAGAGGGAGACTTTGTACAAAAGTCGATTGCTTGGGTACTTCTGTCCCATTTGTGTTTCAACCGAAAGTTTCAGTTATGTTTGCATGGCTGTATTTCGGTTTGAAGGGTGGGATATGGCGTGAATTTACTGGGTACAGAGGAATAACATCTGAGTCCTCAGGAATGGCAACGCATGGTGGGTATCATGGGCGAAAAAGTATACTCTGTTATGTCCATGGTACTGCTCATGTCTATAGGCGACGGTTACCACTTTCCATCAGGTGGGCCGTCAGCTTGTTTGCCATTCTAAGTTGTATAAAAAAAAAAAAGACTTTTGGAAATTTTTTAAGAGGAACGTTGCTGTTTATCTCTCGACCATTAAGTTCCCTTATTCTCTCCTTACAACATCCACAGGAAAGGAAGAGATAGCCCATTCGATTCCAGAACCACACGGTGACCTACCGATAATATTACATATAAACAATTATATTTTAATGTGTAAATAATTGTATGTATATACATATATATACAATTATTTACGCGTTAAGATGTATGTAGTATATATATAAACAATATTACAATATGTCTACCTAAATGTATATTATGTACATATTTTATATATTTAGATAGATACTCTTTATTGTTTCCTCCAAAAGATTACAATAGTAAACTTATTATAAATATAAACGATTACAAGAAATAACCACAATGAGAAAACAATGGGCGATCTTATTTTATTTATGTAATATAATAATATTAAATAAATAATAAATAATCTTTGTTCACTACTCACAAGGAATATTTTACATTGTATGACTATTTAGAATTTTAACTTAAAAATATTATCCTTGTGAGAGTCTAGAGTCTGAACTAGGTCGAAACCTGTACTACAGATCTCCAGACTCGGAGTTTTACAATATATTACTGAACATCAACATTATTACATCAATACAAATATTGTGAGGCAAGTATTCTTGGTATTTCTTATATTTATTATTATTATATATCAATTATTATATTTTTCTTATATTTACATATATTTTTTAACATAAACGTTTTTTTTATACATATTGTGCCAAATAGCTACCACCTGTTTCTTTTCTCTTCAACCCAAAGGTTGTCTGAAACAGTTTGTTTTAGCGATAAGACCGCCTTTTGTACTTTATACCTATGAGTAATATTTATATATCTATTATTTTACATTAGATGCAATAAAAAGTATATAAATACATAAATATAATAGGAATCAACATTAATGATGTGATAAAATGCATTTTAATGATATGTTACTACCTAACCCACTTAGTGTTTGACAAGTTGTAACGCCAGTAATTGTTAGCTTAATGTAATTACAATGACGTTCAATATTGATTCCTTGTATTGTTACCAATCGGTTTAATGACAGTAAATATCGCTTATTACGTAATAAATGTTTTTAAGTCGATTGAATCATGTTTTTAGTTGCCTTTATTACTTGTTAGGTAATTGATTTTAACATTTATATAATTATCACCTAAGTATAATGGATGTTATGAAGAGGTAAAATTGTTTTCGTTTGTGATGAATAAACTCAAAAACTATTAAACGGATTTTAAAAATTCTTTCACCTATAGAAAGGTACATTATCAGACAGTAAGATAGGCTGTGTATTATTTTCGAAAATTCTATCTACCTATGCGAAGCCGGGTCAAGTTGTTAGTTTTATATATTAAATTCGAATGTTTGTAATCACAGATAAATGTTTGTTTGTCACGCAAAAACTATTGAACAGACTGAATGAAATTTGGGACGAGGACAGGGTACTTTATATATTTACTAATACACTAATAAGTATAATTCATCCCTCTATATTTATATATAGATGGATGAATTATAATTAAGATAGGTATATTAGTAAAGAAGAAACATCTAAATATAACTTTGTACCAGACCGCCTGTAACATTTTTAATGCAACTGAAGGTGGCGAACAAACTGATGGAAAATACTTAGTGGTAGTAATGGTAGTGGTAGACATTATGAGGCTATGTCCTCTTTCTATAAGAAAACGGGCTCAGGTCAATTGTAAAGATTGTTACTTATTATTATTTAACAAAAATATAGCTTAATTTTTAACAAAAGAAAATAAAAACAGGTACCTATATGGGAATAGACGAATGATTATATTCCGTAAAAAAATATCTTTAATTGTGGTAAAACTAGTTATTATCATTTAACAACTAAGCATTGAACTGATTTTTATATTAAAACCAAACTACGGAACTTTTTTTTAACATCTGGAAAATGCTTTATGTAGACCCATACACCTTGTGGGGGGTGAATGAGTACTGTAAGGTGAGAGTGTACCCACCAAAAACCAGACGATATTATACCCTCGAGGTGCCATATGTCGGAGACATGGGTTCGCTTTCGCACTCACCACATCTCCGATGACAGCGACCCGCCCCTGATGGTAAGAGCAGGTCTCCTCTCTCAAGATAGGGTGGATGACGTGCTCACCCTACCACTCGGGCGATGCGCCAGTATATTAGCACATCCCCCAGGAAACTATGGAACTGAATATATTAAAATTTCGGCCATGATGCCCATGCGTTGCCATTCCTAAGGACTCAGGTGATATTCCTCTGTGCCCTGTAAATTTACTATCATATCCCATCCTTCAAACTGAAACACAGCCATACAAACACAACAGTTTCACAATTGAAACACAAATGGGACAAAGGTATCCAAGCAAACGACTTTTGTACAGAGTCTTCCTCTGGGGCAGAGAAGGATATACGCTACTTTTTATCCGGGTCAGTAAACATGTCTCGGTCACGCGGACGATTTTTTTTTATACAACTTAGAATGGCAAACAAGCTGACGGCCCATCTGATGTAAAGTGGTAACCGTCGCCTATAGACATAAGCAGTACCATGGACATAACAGAGTATACTGTTTCGCCCATGATACGAGCATATCCAAGCAAACGACTTTTGTACAAAGTCTCCCTCTGATGTCGCAGTTAAAAGTACTTTTGTAAGTGAGAATTTGTATTTTTCCGCAAAAGGAATAGAAGATAAAAGGCACTTTGGGAGAGTACAATTATTCTCGTTTGCAAAGATCACATAGAAAAATTTTTATTACGAAAAACATTTACTCATAAATGTGTAATTATACAAAATGATAGCCGAGATCTTACAAGAAAATCACTAATCTATATTGACTTTCCGTTATCTACGTACCATTAATGTTAAACACGAAGTTTTATAGTGAAATTTGGATATGAATAAATTTGACCGGCTCTTTTGATCGCCCGCATCGTAGAAGTAATGCCGATAAAATCATAGGAAGCCATAAAATATTAATATTATAACGTCGGCGGAAACAAGACGCAGCATAGCGCGTCTCATTTACATGTCACCGAAAGTCATCGCCTGTCAAAATTAGTGCCAATCTCTGGGGTGTTGAGTCGAATTATTGCTGCTTTAAGAACAATGTTTAAAATATTTTCCTTTTTTTATATAATATAGAGGACAAACAAGCATGCGGCTCACCTGATGTTAAGTGATACCACTGTACAGAGGCACCCGAAACATTAAAGAAATTGCTGATGCATAGCCGGTCTTTTAAGAAGGAGTATGCTATTTCTGTTATTATTATTTATATTTTTTAATATTACTAAGTAGTAATAAGAAATAATAAATTTATAATAATAGTAAGTACTAGTACTGTTTCCACTTCTTATTGTACACACATTGCCCGTTGGTAATTAATGCTCCTTTCCACTAAGGGTTTGCTGGAAGAGAACTCTTACAGAGTTAAGCTCGCCTGTTGTACATCTTCATTCAATATAAATTATAACAATGTAATTTTTGTGTACAATAATGTATAAATAAATAAATATGCTCTTTTTTTGAAGGATTCAATGTGTTATCTATTCGGAAATACTACTACTTGGAGTTGGTTTCTTATGTTTATTTGAACAATTGGATAGTTTTATTCTGGTAATGTGTAACATAAATTTGAAATGTATGTCTTATATACAAGTAAAACGTAAAAAAGTAATAAAAAAGAAAAATAAACAAAAAAAAATATACAAAAAGAATTAAGATTCAATGTTAGAGACACCCTAATGTATTGAGTTTGCAAAATTAAATATGCATAAATAAAAACAAAAAATGTCATCTCCGATAACTTTTTGAGGGCAATCAGAAATCATTGGTGAAACACACTTTGCTAATAAAACACATTCAACTCATTAGATATTCCATCATTGTAGTAGTACTTACCTGCTTAATAGTAAGTTCATTACAATATTTATTTTTAAAAACACTATAGATAATAAACTAACGCGTTGGCTATTTTGTGGTGGGCAATGATAACAGATAATTTCGTTTTATATTCGCTGTACTTATTAAATACATAAAATGTAATGTACAAAACTAGCGAAATGTGATTTATTAAGTAGGTATAAAAAAATAATATTGTTTTTAAAAATAAACACAAATATATTATAATAACGTTCTGTTAAGCAGTCTTGCCCAATATGTAGATGTACCTATTTGGTTTAAACAGGTTTAAATTTAATTAACAATTTTAACTACGTAGATATACCTATTCATCACGTCCTCGTAGCGCGTTGTTGAGTTGAAAAAACAAATGCACCGCCTTGACGTATCTAGGTACAAACTACAGTTGAATTAATCGACGAATGGCGAACAAGCTGACGGCCCACCTGATGGAAAGTGCTAACCGTCGCCTATAGACATGTGCAGTACCATGGACAAAACAGAGTATACTGTTTCGCCCATGATACCCCATGCGTTGCCATTCCTGAGAACTCAGGCGTTATTCCTCTGTACCCTGTAAATTCATTATAGTTAGTGCTATAAATGTTACACGATGTAGATTGCCCAATGTAATACTATTATTCGAATATTCATGCGCTTGCCTATTGTTCGCATATCAATGATAATACTCTAACTAGATATAGTACTATATTAAAATAATGCTAAATTGCTTATAAGAACTAAGTTTGTACTAAATGAAAGTTATTGAATAAATTATATACTGCTAGTGTTATAAATGAGAGTATTTGGGTTGATGTTTATTATTATTTAATGGAAAATTTATTTAATTTATTAGATTTAAATGAAACTTAGTATATGGATAGGTTATATTCTAAGTTACCACATAAAATACTTATTGATTCACACGTACAAAGCCACGGAATACAGCTAATATAACGTTATATGTATAATTATTCACGACTGTGATTTTTTAATCAAAAGCATTTATTCGTTCTTTATCTCATGGTAATTTTGCTAAGGTTTATATCATTATTTACAAAGTAAAAAACAATAAATTACCGTAACTAATATATTAATAATGTAAAATATAATTAAAAATATAAAACATGATTATTTTATGTATAATATGTAATTAGTACTGCGTGATAGAGTGACGTTGTCAAGTACTAGCGGCGCAATATCTTTGTGGCGTAATATGAAATCGATTTTATTTATATGATTTTATTAGATATTTATATTTTCTGGTTGCTGTAATAAATTATGTATGTATTATATGATTAATGAAAGTAAATATAATAAAGAATATATGTAAATTACTTATATTGTAAAAAATTTACACGCCGACATAGAGACAAAATGTATACGGGAATAGTAAACCTCTTTCATCTAAAATTAACGTTCCAGCAAAACACATTCACAAATGTGAAAACGATTCATGGCTTAACATAGATATAAATTTGATTATGTATTGATTGTAATTCAGCTGTACGTTTTCCAAAAAATAAATAAATAAAAATAAATTCATTACGTTTTGTTTAGACTTATACTCTTTTTTATTTATACAACTTAGAATGGCAAACAAGCTGACGGCCCACCTGATGGAAAGCGTCCTGGTGAAGAAGCTCTGTTTAGTTAGTGATTTTCTTTTTTTTATATACAACTTAGAATGGCAAACAAGCTGACGGCCCACCTGATGGAAAGTGGTAACCGTCGCCTATAGACATGAGCAGTACCATGGATATAACAGAGTGTACTGTTTCGTCCATGACACCCCCCATGCGTTGCCATTCCTGAGAACTCAGGTGTTGTTCCTCTGTACCCAGTAAATTCACGCCATATCTCACCCTTCAAACCGAAACACAGCCATGCAAACACAATTGCTTCACGGTTGAAACACGAATGGGACAGAGGTACCCAAGCAATCGACTTTTGTACAAAGTCTCCTTCTGATAAATAGTGGATGAAAGATAGATTGTGATGATGATGACGATTAACTACAATTATTTCTAAACTATAAAGTAACAAATTATACGGTATCTTCTTTCAAATAAAAATGATATTTTCTGTTCAGAGCATCGCGTGGGCGCGGACGCTGAGCCGCCGGCGTGCGAGGCGAGACTACTCAATGGAGATCTGTGGCGGCGATTCCACGATATTGGTACTGAGATGATCATCACCAAAGGAGGACGGTGAGTGTTTAGATACCACTGTAATTATGGTACCCTACTTCTGTAAATGTGACAAGTTTTCTAAAAACAAAATAGATTTTTTGTATGAAATTTGGAGAATAAACAAGCTTATTGCCGACATTCTTATGCAAGTAGGAATGGCAAAAAAGATGATGGCGCGCCTGATTGAAAGCAATTTTTTTTTCAATCGATTTCAAAACGAAGAAGATTCTCAATTGTTTGTATTTTTTTCCTCTTTGTTATCTTATAACTCCGCCAGTTGTAAACCGACTTGGAAAAATCTTTTTTTTTATCTGAAAGTATATACGAGTACGTTCAGATTAGTCCCATAGAAATTTTATCAAAATTGGTTCAGTGATTATTTTTTTTAATCAAAATAACTAGTGTTGCCACATATGAAGTCAGTTTTTTGTAGAACACAATCTTAATTATTGCTAAAAATATAATGGCTACAACGAATATGAAAAGCATATTAATTTTAGCGTAAATAATTCAACAAGAATTATTTACGATAAAATTAATTTTTATAGAAAAATATGTAATTAGTCGTAACTATTACTTATAAACAGTACAGACCAATACCAATGGTTTTAGAGAATGCAAGATGATGTTCATACACACGCTGCCCTTTTATTTTTTTTAAATTTCAATTTCTCCGAAACACATACATACAATGAAATACATCTGCTTGGCAGAAGCTTGAGTGGATCAAACGGGGTGACTTTTATGCAGTCTCCCTATATTTGATCTGGTAACCCCTTAATGTAACAGTAGTAACTGGTTTGTATATATTTTTCCTTTTTCATATAAAATTATGATACCTTTATTTCTGTAATTCGGAAATATTATATACCTATACTTATCGTCCTTACTATATTTCATACAAGACGTCATTTTATGTGTTCACCTTTAAATTTAGGATGTGTCTTCTGGTAATCTAAAGCCGACGATTATTTTGTCACAGCACAACTAACCTACAGTTGGCACACTAAAAAAAAATATTGAATTAATATTATTACTTTCCAAAGTATAAATAAAATAAAATATTTAATTGTATACCAAAACCTTTAGTGCATATATCTATGTTTAAATATAACCGTTATATATAGGTATATTTATAAAAAATGCACATAAAAACACGGAAAAAATATATCTAGATTATTCAGTGATACGTGCTATATTTTATACAATTAACGACGGTAATATGTGCTTTTAAAGTAATAATTTTCTGCTTTTAACAGTCACTGATATATAAAATGATAACTTAATTATAATTTTATGCGGTCTGTTAATTGTTTAAACATGGGTGTGAAAAAAACCACTAATAGCTTTTACCAAATACAAATACGGGTTCTGCAAAATTAATAAGGTAGATAGAAAGATAGATAGATAATTTATTTACATTACTTACAGCACACAAATTACAATAAAAAAAAACATACACATAATACACAACAAAAGAGATAAAAGAATGAAAATAAAAAACACAAATAAAAAAAATAAAAATAAAAACAAAATATATAAACTAACAATCTCCTTTCTTTCCCTTCCTTCATGCATGTGCCACAGTAACACAAAATGGTCACAGCTCAGTTTATTGCTTTGCCCTTAAAAGAGCAAAATACTTATATTCTGCATATTGAATATTGTAATATTATCTACAGTGTGGCCAGATGATGTTTTAAATTTTTCCCTAAATTTCAAATGCTTTTCTCCATATTGATGTTATTTTTTACAGTCTTACAAAATCACATTCTCGTGTCCATTTTTATTACATGCTACCAACTAACCACTGTTACAGGTGGCGAAAAAAACGCCCCTCTCTGCGCTAACATTAATGGTAATGGATATACTATGTTACCTATGTTTATATTATATAATCATATAATATATGTATATATAATTTATAGTTACAGTACCAAGATTCTAAAACAATTATCCAAGTTTCTCCTCTGAAATTTCTTCAGAATTTTTCTGAGAAACAAATTTTTACCCAAACTTGTGAAAGAATACCCATTCTGGCAACGCTAAATTAAGGTTAATGGAATAATTATCAGTATTCGATGCGGCACAAAATATTATTATGACAGATATAGCTAATTGGCATGACTTACCTGACGGCCTTGATGGCATTGCGGTTTAAACATTGCCTCACCTAACCAGAGTTGCCAGATGCCAATGTTGATTTTTACCTAAACGTTAAATATTTTTTTCCAAATCGATATGTTTCCCGAGACTTTTGCCCAATCGTAACTTGTATTGTTTTTCTCTACTTTTTGCCATAAACACGTAACAAAGTGAAAAAAGGTAATTTCCCCTGTTTCAATTTTTTCCCTCTCCTTGCCTTCATTGCTATAATTTATTTTAATATACCTGTAGGTATACACTTTGCAAGTACTAAAACTATTACCCAAAATTTCATAAAATAAATCCCTAACCTTCAAAAGATTGAAGTAGTCTACTTCATTAATTTTCCTACTTTTGAGATCTACGTGTATGACGTAACGAGCAGAAAAATAACAAAAAAAAAAAAATATGTACACGAATACAATCCCTAATGAAGCACTTAGATGTATTTTGTAGACTATTATATTGTTATGTGATATCTATTATATTATACGAATAAACAGAATTTTTAAAATATTTGCGTTTATTCATAACAATTTATTTATTTATTTAAGGAACACCAACAGCATATTGCATTATAACATATAGGTATAACAAAAATTAAATACAATACAATATTAATGCACATGCCTTTATAGGTATTCACAGCATTCACTTTAACATAATTTATACAGTGTAAGAAATTTAAGTAAATAACAAAAATAAACATGTAATCTAAGTTGTGAGCAATATCAGAAAATAAGATTATGAGTGAATTAAATTAAAAAAAATATTAAAAAAATATATATTATGACAATTATAGTTAATGTTCATAAGATTGTTGTACAATTCTTTAGTACTACAAGCTTCGTTTCTTTCTATCTGATACTTGTTTCTCACTATATAATAAAACAGAACTGTATTCTATTTTACGTCTAATAATAGTAAACGGTTGATATAGAAAATTCAATGCAACGATATCGTATTTGTCTTTGTTCCTAGAAAGTCTTGGATCTTGTACCAAGAAGATGCAGTCATAGAGAATAAATTGAAAATATTAAAAGTACTAAACATGCTTTTAGCATTAAGTCCACCTTGTACACATACATGTACTAACGAATAAATAAATAAAACATCAATCGTTTGCAGACAGTTTTAAAAAAAAAATAACAATATATTTTTCTTCTTTTGACTTCAAACATTTGCTCATAATGGTACTTACAATGGGTATTATAATCAGTGTTATTCTGTAATATCCATAGTGTGTTAATCATGCAGGTCATTGTTTCCTTTATCAGTTACTGGTGTATCGACAATGAAAAAATTATGTAGACATTTTTTCAAAAAGCAGGATACTAGTAAATTCTTTACAAATGAATAAACATTTCTATCTCATGATTAATAACATATAAATGCTATATAAATTATTATCCGAGAGGCACAGTAAATTAAACGTTGCAGCTGTCGCGATTCCATACGAATATATGAAAACATAACGTGTTCTCCTCATAAATTATAACAAAAACTTAACGAAAACCCATTAGGGCTGCCGAATCTGACGCGGGGCTTGTTAACGGATAATTTGGGTCCCGGCCGGACCTCCGTCATAGACAAAACAAACAGCTGCCCGGACGGCAATTTGTGCATTTCTCTAAATGGCCGAACACAAATTACACCTTATTATAAGCTTGTTTGCTTTACGACGAAACCCCTTCAATTATTTTTTTTTTTCGTGATCGATAATGTGGAGCGAACAGTGAAGAAATTACACAGTCGTCGCGATCTCGGCGCCTCCGCCCTTCCTGCGTGCGCGCTGCGGTGAGCCGAGCACGGCGGCCCACCACGCCTGGCCCTCCATACGTAATTATGAGCCAACCTATTCATCTCGTCATTAGCGGATGACGACTCGTCGCACGCACCTACAGAAGAAAGTTTCATCAATAAATATCGCGTTGGACGACATTATTCAGTAATTAATGGTGCGTAATTAACTCTCGGGAGCCGTTTCGTGTCGCCGTCCGGCGTCCACCGGGTTATTAAAATCACTTATAAAAAAATCAGACCCGTGCATTCGAATAGCTGATGCGGTACAACTGTAGCGGCGTGCCATTGCCTGTTCCCGAATCGGGCTTTTTGCTTGGAGCATAATTAGCTAGGTCGGTTCGTATGTGCTCCTGTCATCTCCTACACGCTTTTTTTGGCGCGGCCGCCGGCGCGGTTCGCAGACCACCGCACGGCCACGCGGCCGTCCGGTTAACATTCCAATAATTTACCGCTTTATCCAGCGGTTGGTGAATCTCGTTAGTTGCCTGCGCCCGTCTAGAGGTCACTTTTGTTTGTTTTGTATTAATGATGCCGCGTGAGAGAGGCCGGGGGCGCGCCGGCGCCGCGTAGGCCCTGGCGCCATGCCCGCCGAAATGGGTCAAAAATATTTCATTTATTTCTCGTATTGAATACTAGTCGATGTGCGTGCACGTTATAATTGAGTTGTTGAAAACATATGTCTAGTTTACAGCATACATGTCGCAGGACAAACGGACGGACATGTACATCACAAATTGGAGACGTAACTGAATGCTTTCAAGTTTTGTTTAACCAGACAGTTAAAAATAATTGTTCTGAGTTCTTTATCCGAAATGTTCGCAGAGTGGGGTTGGGTTTTGGTGGGTAAATGGTAAGCGCAAACAAATGGATTTGGGCGGTTCGTTTGTGCAAGCGAGGCCGAGCGGGGAGCATCGTCGGAGTTAACACCTGCCGCACCCGGCAGCCATACGCTTGCTTTATGTGTTAGTCGTGGATTTGTGACTACAGCCTTCACAGTTTTCTCACCTGTGCACACTGTAAATATACTGGGACATAACACATAGGTAGGTACTCATACATAGGGTATAAAT